AACGGATTCTACCTCTATAACCCTCATAAAACGGAACCTACTGAAATGCGGCATTTTGACAATTTAGTTCATATTTTCTGTCGGATTAGTTTTAAAATCGGTATTAAGACTTCGTAAGGGGTTTTATATCTGGTGGCAGAACAATGTCTGTACATTTCCACGTTGTACTACACTCCTTGTATAAAAGGTACTTTCGGATATTCGGTATTTTGATGACTATTATCCCATTTTCAACGGAATAGTTTCAAATGTGTCATTAAGAATTTATAACAGGTTCTGCCTCTGGTGGCTAAACATAGTCTGTATAGGCCCAGGTTTTAATATAGCCTCCATATAATGGTAACTTATGATATTCGGTGTATTTACGACTTAGGCCTCATTTTCTATTTGTTTCAAAATAGATAATGTTTATAGTACATAATAGGTTCTACAACAGGTGTTAAAACATTGTTCATATTGGTCCAACATGTTCATATAATAATACCCGTTGGTATTCGACATTTTGATGATTCTATCCACATTTTCCACGGTCAATTTAGTACTCAAGACTGGCAATAGATAACAATTCTTGTAGAAGAAAAAATTTCCCGCTTTGGTATGACCTACATATAACGGTTCCACCCACTATAACTGCATTCTTCAATCTATTTCAATGGTATTTGATGATTAAAGTGGAATACGTTTGAATCCAAATACTTTCATTAAAAAAAATTTTACTTAATGGTGTGTATTTAATTTTCGGCCCATTTGCGACATAAAAATTTGCGAAATCAAAAGAAAAATTTGAGTTAAAAAAATAAAAAATGCTTGAAATCAAATTTTACCCTTATATCGGGTCCATACCAAAAAGTAAAAAAGCTATCCTTAAATTTTCAAAGCTCTACGTGTATTAAATATTGCGAAATATATATAAAAGCCTTAAAAAGTGTGTCCTGAGAACCCACAATCCTTTTGCGATTTTGATCTACAAGCCAACCGGGCTCCAATAAATGTTTTCAATTTCAATAGTTTTTATTACGTAGCTGACATGTTTTATATCCTCTATTCTGATATGGAGCGTATATTAAAGTTGTTATTTCATTTGTAACTACTTGAAATCAGCAGTATGTATTCCAGTGGCAATGTCCTAGTAAGTCTCATGTTTTATTATAGATCCCATAAAATTGTACCTCCCGCTATTTGGCTTTTTTATAGTTTTAGCTACATTCTTGGACAGAATTTGGACTTAACATTAGATACCGCCCTCTCTTGAAGAACATTGTATATTCTAGTTAGGGTGTTCGAATTTTTGGTAATTTGATGTTTAAATCACAATTTTCAACGCAATCGCGGAATAAGGGAAGTAAAAGTGGAATAAGGGAAGTAAAGTCATCATATGTTAAAGATTTTTGTCAAAATTTCTATTTATAAATATCAGAGATAGGAAACTGTTTTCTTGACAGTAAAATTTGACAAGGTAAATTAAATTACGCTCGACGTATTTCGGTAACATTCATATGGTCAACCTATTTATAGAAGTATGAAGATGTTCGTCGGGTATTACATAGGACTGCAAGGAGTTCGAAATGAGTACCACTTACTATTACAGAAAATACATGTATTGTTATTTTGATGATTTTAGTCAAAGTTTTGGTAGAAAATGTCTAAAATTCGCTCTTTTGAAAGATTTCTAAATAGCAATCAATAAATCACATAAATGTGGTATGAATGGTAGACTGACTCTAAATAATGTGAGTGGAATATGGCGGCTCCTCCGCACACCGTCAATATGTCCAATTGTTTATTATAAGCCAAACCGATTAATATTTAGTAAATTATTTTGATGTTGCCCCTACCAAGTTTAACACCATATCATCAATAGTTTCTAAACTTTAAATATTTGAGTAGTTGCGCGTGGTCGGTTGGATCACGCAAAAATGAAAGATACGATTGATTCTGAAAGTTTCACAATATCGTATAACAATTCTTGAATAAATATAAAAAAAACGTTTTTTTAAAGGACGCATGGGAAGTAGAACGTGCCCTTTGAATTCCTAAAAACTAATAGCCTTTTCACCTCAGAAAATTTTGTGAAATTTAAATTTATTTAAATTTTATTGAATGAATTCAAAAAATTGCGAATATAGCATCAAATTTAAGAATAAGTTAAGATTTGTTAGAATTGGTCACCTTTGGCACGAATTATGGCCTGCAAACGGCCAATGAAACCGTCACACGCTGCCCGAATGTTGCTCTGCGGTATTTTGGCCTATTCCCTGCGAAGCGCTTGCTTGAGGTGATCAACACTTTGGAACTTTTTAGTGCCAACCTTGCCCTTCAAATACTCCAGACACAATAGTCCAATGTATTGGTATCCGAAGATTTTGGTGGCGATTGTGCGGTGGAAATGAAGCGAGGAACCTCATTTTGTAATCATTCTTGGGTGGCGGCCCAAACCATAACCATGGCCGGCGCAAGAGTTCTAGTGTCCAAACGAAGGTGCACATTTTCAACTGACCTCTTTGTCAAGTAAACACGATCATTTTGTTTGTTTACAAACTGCTGAACAACGAATGTTTCCTCATCGGAGAAAACTAAATTCGGTAGTTCACCACTTTCGGCCAAGCGAAGCAACACTTTAAGTCATTTAAGTTTATTTTCTTTCTGCTGTGGCGCAAGTTCTTGCACTTTTTTTGAATTTCAATGGTTTTACCCCCAGCTCATTTTTCAATATTTGCCAAATGGAATATTATGATATGTTCAACCATTCTTCGGCCACTACGACGCGGGTTTCGATCAAGTTGCTTCTATACTTTTCGAATTTCTGCTTGCGTTGCTGTTTGCTTCCGTCCTCTTCCTTGACGTCGGGCTACGCTACCAGACACAAAAGATTTATTCACATTTAAATGCTAGAGTGCTCTAACGATAGCCACTTGACAAATATAAAAAATTACACTATCACGCTTGAATTCTATCACGAATAACTTTTTTTTCTGGAAAATTCTCACCAAAATGCGTTTGTACGCTTGTAAACAAAATAATGAGCTGTCACTGGAATAATTTTAACAGTTGTAGGACGAGTGGCTTAGAAATGACAGAAGTCTGAAATTGTTGCAGTTTTTACTTTTCACTCTGTATATGAGTGCTATAGTTATAATAGGATTGGTTTGGTTCAAATATGGCAGACTTTAATCTTAACGGAATTTCATCGTATGATCCAAGGCACAACCTAATTAGACAAAAATAGCACGGTTGGTGTATTATTTACGAAAAATGTTGAAGGGAATATATATGGGAGCTATATGTAAATCTGAACCGATTTCGACCAAATTTGTCAAAAGTATTTCTTAACTGTATCTCATACCTCGTACCGAATATCGCTGGAGCTATATCTATATTCTTGTTAATGTTCTTGTTGTTCTCATTCTAACTAGGACCTAAAAACGAAATTTAGAAGTTCTCCCTATTCCCTGTAATTTTTTCCCTCAAAAACATGCCTTTGGCCCCATAGTGCAATGTACCAATCATGTATGTATTACCTTTATTTGTGATTTTAAATCGATAACTTTTGACTCCTCAAGAACTCAGTATAGTGAAAACTGGTTTCTCAATTTTTATACGAAATCCAGTTTTTTTAATGGCTAATACGTTTCTTACGAATCTATTGGAATTTTAAAAATTGTTTACGAAAAGAAAATTTATTGTTATAAAAAATATTTGTTCAGGGTCTCTCATATATGAGTTTCTCTACCAGCCCCAAATGTGGTACTATCCATTTATTCCGCAGTGTTTTTTCGGTACCTATAATTAAATGAGGTTATCTTTTCATTTAGCGAATTGAAAAAAAAAACTGCAGCAGCCACAGAGCAACACAGAGAATTGGTAGACTAAAATTAAAATTGTAGATACACCAAACGTTACCTTACCCGTACTTAGAAAAACACAATGTTGTTGTTCATACGATTTTTAATTATTACGAGATTTAGGGGGAAAATACAATATGTTCTTCTTTGCTCCGTTCGGTTCTGCCATTACTGTGTGCCAGTCACTATTTGTGGAAAAATGACAAAAACAGACAGAAACACACACGCACACACAAGAAACTCGAATTGATATCAATCACGTTTTGCCATTTATGGTTGACAATATCGTGTTCGTTGCCCAACTTAATTAAAAGTATGAAAACATTTACGATTACCGAAGATAAAAACAAAAGAACATAAATGTTGTCTACTTTTTTCTCAGTTTTGATTTTACGCTCGATTAAGCATTGTGAAGCCCGGTCGCATTTACCCGTAATAAAGTGAACATTTTTAATGAATCTCATGTAGTTGTTGCACACGTCATAAAGTATAAGTAAGTAAATCGTAAAGGTTAACACTTTAAGAGCCAAGTTAAACTATAAGACAGCATTCAATGGGGAAAGTGTTTAATTTGTTGGGTTAACATAATCAAGTTTCTTATTTTTAATGAAATCCCAATATTTTATGAGTTATGAATTGAGACATGATATGATTTTTGTGAGGTACAACAACTTTTGGGCAAACAAAGTAAATTTCGAGCTTGACGCAATGGCAATGTAAGAAGAAGTGGGGTTTCAACTATTGTTAACGAGGGAAACTACATTGATGCTCAGGAATATTATTTGGAAAATTTGTTTAAATCTCAATATTTTCCAAATTAGGGCCATCGTTATATATGTGAATTTACTGCACCCAACAAAAACATCTCACATAACATCGAGTTATATTTATTTGAGTACCACGCCCATTAAAGTATTCCAAGTATTATGCAGATGTCTCAGAACAACATCCGCTTCCATAAAAGTATCTTAAACGTAGTTACATGCTTTATTTGCCAGAAGGGAAATATTGACATACAAGCTCTTGCCGCTCGTTGCCAGCGGATATTTGTCGATGTTATGGCATTAATTTTAATTGTTATTGGTTCTTTACGAACCATATTATTATATTCGTTTGTTCGGCAACTAGATCTTCTTCTAAGGCTTTTGTGTTCAAAATGTGTAAGAGCATTTGATTTTGAAGAACAGTATCGATATCATATTTGACAGTGTTGCACGCAAATCTTCTTTTCGGATTCTTAATAAAATTAACATTTTGTGATAAAACATTTTTTTAAAATTTATAAGAAGTAAGTTATCCTTGTTATCTCCGAAATCTAGGATATTGAACTACCCAATGTGGATATATGAAATTGTGACACAATACAATCTATGCTCTTTTGCTTTGCTTTATAACGAGCGCAGCAAAGCTAATTTGACTCTACTGGAATATCAACGTAAATGTGGGTCGCAAGAAAATATTATGTAGACCCCAAAATTTTGGATGAATTACAAACTTTTGTTGTCAGAAGATGAAGAGTAGTAAGGAAGTAAATAGTAAATTGTGCATCTATAGGGTGAGATAAAAAAAAAACTACAACAAAGTCAAGCGCTAATGTCGGAAAAAGCATCTAATTTTAGAATAACTTTTTATTTGTTCGAATTGGCCACCTTTGATACGAATTGTGGCCTTCTAGCGGCCAATGAAACCGTCACACGCTATCCGAATGTTGCTCTGCAGTATTTTGGCCCATTCCCGAAGAAGCGTTTGCTTGAGGTGATCGATATTGTTGTATTGTTATTTTGTAGTACCAACCTTGCTTTCCAAAATACTCCGGACACAATAGTCCAACGGATTGGTATCCGGAGTTTTTGGTGGCCATTGTGCGCTGGAAATGAAGCAAGAAATCTAATTTTGAAAACATTCTTGGGTGGCGCGTGTTGAGTGCGATTGTGCTGATCCTGTTGGAATGCCGACCTCTTTGGCAAGTAAACACGATAATTTTGTTTGTTTATAAACTGCTGGACAATGAATGTTTTCTCATCGTAGAAAACCAAATTCGGTAGATCACCACTTTCGGCCAAGCGAAGCAAGTCTTTAGCGCTTTTGACTCTATCTTCTTTCGGTTGCGGTGTAAGTTCTGGCACTTTTTGGAATTTCAATGGCTTTACCCCGAGCTCATTTTTCAATATTTGTCGAATTGAATATTGCGATATGTTCAGCTCACGAGCCATTTTTTCGATCAAGTTGCTTCTTTACGATGCGAGCGATGGTACGAGACACAAAAGATTTATTCACATTCAAATACTGGAGTGCTCTAACGATAGATACTTGTGATTTTCCAGCCAAGTATAAAGAAATCACACTATCACGCTTGAATTAAACCAAGAATAATTGTTTTCTGGAAAATTCTCACCGAAATGCATTTTTACGCTTGTATGCAATATAATGAGCTGTCACCGGAATTATTTTAACAGCTGTCGGACGAGTGGCTTAGATATGATAGCAGTCTGAAGTTGGTTGCAGTTTTTTCATCTCACCATGTAAACATTTTTAATTGAACACTGTTAAAAATATAAACGATTTAGAAGTGTTTTTCTGTACTTTCATACTCTTCTGGATTTTCCCAGTAACTATTGCAAAGTTTAATGGGCACAAAAATACGGCGCAGATCTCTAAGTACAATATATATTGAATACTAGCTGGCCCGGTCCGCGTTGCCGGTCCGTAGTTTTTGTCTATTATGCATATTTGTCAAAGCATAATAATTCACAGATATGACTGTTATAAGTGTTCAAGTACTGGTCGATTAATTTTTAATATTAAGTCAAATGAGCAGTAATTTGGAATTTACTGTATTTTGTACACCTCATAATTGAAGGCTGAATGATTTAAGAATAGCCAAAGTTAATTACTTTTTTAATCCCATTAGCACCTCAGATTGTGCATTAGAGTCCTCATAAGTCATAAGAAAATCCAAAATCAGGAAGTACCTCTATATGGCCACTACTGCGAAACATCGACCTACATTGAAACTTTATTCACCCCTTATAATCCAAGATGACAAATAGAGGCCAAATCAAAAATATAGCAGGGAAACATAGCATGTCACACTGAAAAAAAAAAAAAATTCTCTCGTGACTTAAATAAGTAAAATTAGTTTTATCCACCTCATAATTGAGGGCAGACTGATTCAGAATAGTCAAATATAAATACTATTTTACACCCATTACCGGAAGATGGGAACTAATTTTATTTGTCATTTAAATTGTAAATTGGAGACCCCATAAAGTCCATATTTTTCATCATATTATAATTCAATTTATTTCACAATTTATTTCATATAGATGTACATCCCAAATCTACGTTCCCAACCAATATTCTCTTGGGGGTTACAAATTCAATAGAATACAAAATTTTCTTTTCTGACCACACATTAGATGTGAAAGTGGACTTGGGGATACTCCAATGTGGGGACTTTACTTAAATGAATTCCTATGTGGCAATTATCTGTATGATGGTTCCCTACCCCAGGGTACCATAAATAAACTTTTTTTTAGCAAAATCAATTGATGAATGTGGTCAAGGCCAATATGGGCCCTACTCCGGAAATTTTATGCGAAGAGGTTCTCTACCCCCTTAGAAACAAAGATGCCGAATAAGGACCAAAAATAGGAAAAAGTGGCGAAGACCTCAAATATAGCTTAAATCATACGATGGTTATATATGATCGATATCATGACCTGCAAAAGCGATTTAAGGCATCTTGAATATTCGGGAAGAATTTCTGGAAGGATAGAAATCCTTTTCTTACTAAAAGTCCCATTCGCTCTACTATTTTGCACCCTTTATATTTGGTATTTTACTGATTGTACTCCAAAAAATTTCAGCTCCCATTGGACGGATTATTGTCACATGAAAGAAGTAGGTCCACGCTTTGAAATGAGCCCCATTAAGTTTTTTTCGGTTATTTTTGTTTGTTTAAATGTGTTCGCATTTTCCACGATGTAGGTCCTGGAGTTGAAAGGTAAATGTCAGTTAACATCGTATTTCGCACTTATTTCATAGTGTGAAAAATTATTCTTTATTTTGTTCACAAAAAAATCCACTGAATTCAATATGATAATACAAATTGAAAAAAATGACAAAAGAAGAAAAATAAATTGAAAAAATCTTCCATTTGTTCGCTGATTTTTTACAGCAACTGTTTAAAGATCTTTACAAAGTTTGTCAATAGAATGTACTTTTATTTTAAAATTCAATTCCATTGAAATTTTTTTTCAATATTTTCCCGATTTGAGAATTTTTCAATGAGATCTCTTTTTCGTGATTTTTAGCGATTTTGAAAAAGTAATTATCTTTTAACTTTGGTGTGATCGCGTTAAATTATTTCGATATCATCTATTCCGTTTCGCCACCACATAATTCGGTACTACACTTCCATGTAACCCGCCATCAATTTCAGTTCTCAAGAAATCAAGTCAATTAAATAAATTGGTATTAATATTCGAATTCAAAAATAAAATATAAAAAACACTACAAATGTACATTAGAAAAAAAGTAAGTCAAAATGGAAAAAAATTATGCAAAATAAAACAATACTATTGTACATTTCAAAAGTCAAAATGGAAATGTTAATATATCACATTTTTACGCGTTTTGTTTGGATATTATCCTTTTCGGATAGGAGACAATTCAGAATTTGAATGAATCATTAAAATCAGTTTAGCGGTTCTTAAGTTATAAGTGTAGTAACTAACACAACTTTCTTTTATATATATAGATAGATGTATAGATAGATTAAAAAGTAGGCGTGGTCAGTTCCTCAGCCCCCAAACAAATACTTAGAGTTGGAGGGAAGGTCAACAGTATCTCGTGTACAAATGTTTAAACCAATATCTTCATTATTTGGGAAATATAATGATTTTAGATAAATCGAAATAGTGGGCGTAAAAGGAGGCGTGGTCAATATTTTTTTCTTTAAAAACCTAACTCGGGGTATGACGAATGTTTGTACAAAAAATTGTGCAAATCGGTCCAGCCGTTTTCAACTGATTCCATTACCAACGAACAACAATTGATTTTTATATATATAGAAGAAGAAGATTATTCGTGGCCACTTTTTTCGAGCGATACTCCTTCATGAAATAATGAGTTGGTAGTCCGATTTGTAATGATTATTATCTTGGGGAGTGCTGTGGTTTTATCCATATCAATTTATTAAATGTAAATAAGTTTATTCTTACTAATCTTCTTGGTTGTTTTATATATTTTTCTTGTAATTTTAGATGAGTTTTCGCGACGATTTCTATTCAAAGGAAGCAACGCTTATAAATCGGGCAAGACGAGAATTGGCCAATGGACTGGAAAAACAACCGATCGACAAACTGAGATTGAAGTGCTTCACTCGCGGATCCGCTGGTATCCTTAGTTTGTGCAGGTAATTTGTTGTAATCCGAGCAGTTCCATTTCATCTTTATTTTTCGAAACTAGGTCCCTTCGAAATATGGAAAATGGTGAAAGTAAATCAGTCAATTTTGATGATTTTAAAGCGGCAATAAAACAAAGTGGAATAGATTGTACCGATGACGAAGTAAAGGATATCTTCGCTTGTTTTGATGGTGATAATTGTGGTCATATCAACACTAAGGAGTTTGTATCAAAATTAAGGGTAAGGACCTGAAGACGATTTGTTAATGTTTGTCAGGAACACATGTCAAGATCATGAACTTTGTTTGTTATTTTGAACTATATAATCTAAGAATTACCTAACTTAGCTTTATTCTTTTTAAATAGCCTCCTATGATCCGTTCTCGTTTGGATGTAATTGAAAAGGCATTTGCAAAGGCCGATCACTCCGGCAACGGAGTCATAACTGTAAACGATTTGAAAAATCTCTACAATGTTAAGGACCATCCCAAGTATCTGAGTGGGGAAGTGACGGAAAAACAAATACTTTCTGAATTTCTTAGTAATTTTGATGGCAACACTGGCAACTTGAATGCAAAAATTCCCAAGGAAGATTTCCTTAATTACTATGCAGGTGTCAGTGCTTCAATTGATAACGATGCTTACTTTGACTTGGTCATGCGTCGAGCCTATAAACTTTAATTTTTTTGACAATGTTAAAAATTGTTCGTTTCATTTTTTGAATTATATAAAAAATATGGCACAGCAAATTTTTAAAAATGCTATTACACTTAAGATAGACTCAATTTGTTTGCAATAAGTCAGAAAAATATTAATAAAACAAAATAAAAATAATAATAAATTCTTGATCAATCAGCAAATATTTTATGTCGATTTGGCTAAATCCGTCTGTGGAAAACACTGTAGTTTCCGAGCGAAATGAAGTAGAAATAGAAAACTTTCTTGAAAAATAAAAAAATATGGGTTGAAAAATTTTGATATTTTAAAATTCGACAAGTAAAACGCATGTATTTACATACAACACAGCTTGAGAATAATATTTTTAAAATAATTTGTCAAAGGAATTTTTCAACAATGCTTGAGAAATACTTATGTTGCACAAACTTTTCCCAAATCTGCCCTTTTTTGACAAATTTGTTTTGGTTTTTTAAGAAAATTGTCTCGTAAAAATTAATTTCTTTGGTAAAAAGCAAAATCACGCGAATTAAGGACCTATTTCCGGACCGAATTCTTAAGGTAATGATGAATAATAAATCAGGGAATCTGTGGTATTATGTTTTCAATATCATTTCAGATAAAAGACATTCAAAAAGTTGAAGGAATTCAATAGAAGTGTAGTCTTAGTGGAAAAGATGCAGGAGCTCAAATAAAGGAGAAGAAAGCTTCAGGGTATCAAAGTTACAAGAGGCAGTGGCAGAGGCAGCTGGGATGTCCATCGATGAAAATAATGTGTAAAATTATTAAAAAATAAATATTTTATTATATCACAAAAATAAGCTTTATATAATATTTGTTTCGTCAGCTTATTCTACAATTGCAAGCATAAGCTTATAAATAAGGATTCAATTTCGATTATTCTATACTTGTTACACAAACATTTTTCAATGTTTTCTCAACATTTTCCCAAGCTTAAGGCTTATGTTTATAAGCTTATTGTAATATTATTCTCAAGCCATATTGGTATGTTAGGCTAAATACATCGAGCGTACGAAATTTTAAAAGTTGAACAATTTCAACATTGACTATTGAACAATTTCTTCCTTGTTATGGTGAAAAGAGATGTGAATAAAACAAAACAAGTAAAAAAGATGTAAGCAAAAGCAATTTCGAAGTAATGTGCAAGTGTCCAAAAAAGTCCTTTGAAAAATACAGATAATACAGTTACCGTTATATTGGGCCCTATACGAAGACATGGGCCTGCATAGACAATTTTTGTCATAGGCCACTACAATATTCGAATACGAAACTAGAAACAATTCCGGTGAATAATGTCGCAAAAACATCAAAATTCAGAATATTGGGAGATACCGTTATGTGAATTCTAAAAATGATAAATTTTTACAATTTTATTAGATGGTAAATTTTAAGATATGGACTTAGCGTATTTGGGTAATACGGACGTACAAAACTTTTTACCCTAGAGATGTTGAATAACAAGCAAAATATTGGAAGATGTGTTACAAAGTAATTTATACAACCTACTATCTGTATTACAATTAGGATGAAAATAACGATTTATACTTAGAACACTAACAACACCAAATAACTCTATTTCCACATCACCAAATAATGGAATAACAACCGAAGGTTGTGAGTACGAGGATCGATGAATTGTTCGGGTAGATGCAAGACTTGAAACAACACATTGAGTTCATAACAGTGGCGCATTGGGTATCTGAAGACCGAGAGTTCAATACCAGCAGCGGACAAAACAAACGTTCATTTTTTAGATTTATCTATTTTTATACACATAAAGTTTGTCATTCTGTTTGTAACACCTCGAAATACACATTTTAGACCCCACAAAGTATAAATATTCTTGATCAGCATAAAATTCTATGTCGATTTAGCGATGTCCGTCCGTCTGTGAAAATCACTTTAGCTTCCGAACGAAATTATATCTGCAGGACTTTTGGTATTGAAAATGGGCCATGTAGGTCCACGTTTTGGTATAGCCCCCATATAACGGTACCTCCCGATATTCGGTATTTTGATGATTTTAGCAACTTTATTCACCGGAATTGTTTCAAATTTGGTATTTGAAGTTCGTAACGGATTCTAGAACCTAACACAAAAAAGTATCTGCGCAGATCCATGGCACGATATTCAGTATTTTGGTGAAATCGTTTCAAATTTAGCATTAGAGTTCGTAATAGATACTACAGCCTAAGACAGAAAATTGTCTGTGCAGGTTCACGTCTTCGTATAACCCCCATATAACGGTACCTCCCAATATTTGGTATTTTGATGAATTTAGTGACTTTATTCAACAGAATTGTTTCAATTTTGGTATTTGAGGTTCGTCCACGTCGTCGTATAGACCCTAATATAACGGCTACATTCGGTGTTTTTAAGATTTTAACAGATTGGTTAACGGATTTTATTTATTTATTTATTTATTTTTTTTTTTTTTTTTGAAAATTGCCGAATTCGTTCCAAATGGTCGAGGGTAAAAGATCGGCCCGGCCGATGTTAAAGCTTTTTTACTTGTTTTACTTCTTTTCTTATGATTTGCCGACATTCAGTGGCTAAATAATAACTACTAATTTCAAGTGATATGCCCTTAATAAAGTAATGTATTAGTAGGTTGGTGAGAAGTTCCAGTTACGAAAAATTGAGTAGGTAGCTCATTTTTGAGTCAAGAGTTTTTTCTATTGGCGACAAAAACTAAAACGACCTGTATGACTCGTTCTTGCTGGAGATGACTGCTGACGATAGTCGAAAGATCTTCAATATATACTATAGGATTGCCTGAAAGTAACATAGGCTATATATTTTTGAAATTCTACTTGGAACTGGTATTTAGCATCAAAATCAGAGGTAACTCCAAAAAATTAGATTTTGCATGCACATATCTAGTGATCGATTACAGATACAGTCTTCAAATTTGGAATGTGTAACGGAATTTGGAACAAAATTTTATTTTATTCGGTTCAGATTTTGATATAGTTCCTACATATATTTTCGACCGATATCACATATTTCATAGACCAAACTCTCTATGTATCTGCAATTTCAATGAAATTTGGAATGTGGAATTTAGTTTGCAAATAAATTTGTCAAATTATATTGAAATCGGTTCAGATTTGCTTCCATATATATTTTTGCCAATATCGTGTAGTTGATGCATTAAACACGTTAATTAAAAAGAATATATTTAAATCGGTACAGATTTGAATATAGTTCCCATGTATTTTCGTCCAATTATAACACCATATGTGTGTTTGATTACATTGAAATTTGGAGTGGAGTACCAAACTTGACCGAAAAATCTTATTTTTAATACCAACCATCCTAGACACAATAAAAACTATTGTGATAAATGTCAAATCTCTACGTCAAATAATGTGGGCTGTATAAGACGCACAGACAGACGAACGGAAATTGTTAAATCGACTTAAAATTTTATGCTGGTCATGACTACATATATATATATATATATATATATATATATATATATATATATATATATATATATATATATACTTTACGACGAGGTTTTACAATATACCCTCCTTTCTAAGGTAGAATCTGTATATATAGCTTATATATATATATATATATATATATATATATATATATATATATATATATACATATTGGGCCGATTTCGTGTATTTGAATTTTAATGAAATTTTAAATCTGTTACGGAATTTGGCACGTAATTCGGTACAAAAATGTATTTTCCAAACTAAATCGAAATCGGTTGAGGATTGGATACAGCTTCCATACATATTTTCGGCCGATTTCGTGTACTTGATGCACCAAACTCGCTATGTATTTCAAATTTCTACCTCGAATCCCCCTAATAGCAACAAAGATGTCTTTCAACTTTTAAATAATGCAGTTTCCTGTACGACTTGCATGTACTACGACAATTAATAAATCCCAATTACAAACTCTTCGTGTATGCGGACGAAATTCGGCATGTTCCTGCTTTTGGTAGCTGGCATGCTCACGCGTTTGTAGACCGAGCGATTTGTTTGTCTACGCTCCTGTAGGAAAAACAAAAAAAAAAAAAAGAAAAAAAGTCTATTTTTAGGTCCAATCTGATCGTACGTGCAAAATTCCATACTATTCGGACTGATATTACACGTTTGGTCACAATAAAAAGCAAATCGGACGAAGATATATATGGGAGCTATATCTAAACTTTGACCGATTATCTCCAATTTCGATAGGGTTCGTCCTTGGATCAAACAAATGATTTGTGCAAAATTTCATCTGGATAGAGCAATAAATGCGAACTGTACTTTGTTTACAAAAACACATGGACCGACGGACGGACGAACATGCATAAATCGACTCAGAATGTGATTCTATGCAGATCATCAAAGGAACTATGGGCCTATCTCGTTTCCTTTTGCCTGTTACAAACAAATGCACAAAGACATAATACCCTGACCACCTTGTGGTGTAGGGTATAAAAAGTATATTCTAATTGCAATAAAATTAAAATAAATATTTTATTATATCACAAAAATAAGCTTTATATAATATTTGTTTCGTCAGCTTATTCTACAATTGCAAGCATAAGCTTATAAATAAGGATTCAATTTCGATTATTCTATACTTGTTACACAAACATTTTTCAATGTTTTCTCAACATTTTCCCAAGCTTAAGGCTTATGTTTATAAGCTTATTGTAATATTATTCTCAAGCCATATTGGTATGTTAGGCTAAATACATCGAGCGTACGAAATTTTAAAAGTTGAACAATTTCAACATTGACTATTGAACAATTTCTTCCTTGTTATGGTGAAAAGAGATGTGAATAAAACAAAACAAGTAAAAAAAGATGTAAGCAAAAGCAATTTCGAAGTAATGTGCAAGTGTCCAAAAAGTCCTTTGAAAAATACAGATAATACAGTTACCGTTATATTGGGCCCTATACGAAGACATGGGCCTGCATAGACAATTTTTGTCATAGGCCACTACAATATTCGAATACGAAACTAGAAACAATTCCGGTGAATAATGTCGCAAAAACATCAAAATTCAGAATATTGGGAGATACCGTTATGTGAATTCTAAAAAATGATAAATTTTTACAATTTTATTAGATGGTAAATTTTAAGATATGGACTTAGCGTATTTGGGTAATACGGACGTACAAAACTTTTTACCCTAG